GTCGCCTGAGTTACCAAAGGCAACACAAGCTGCTAAGGGGGGGGGGGCTGAGGCGTACTGCGGCATTACTGAGGCATCAGAACCTGCTTATCGCCCTCTGCCAGCCTGGGGCATAGCAGCACAACAGTGGTTGACGAAGATCCACGGAATGACCATCGAGATACCAGTCAGCAACGGAGTCGCTACTCGTTCTGAACGGAGGAGGCACACAGCGCGAATCAGGAAAGGATCCATGAGAACTACACCGCCCGTGGGAGCTTACACTTGGAATTTGGAATATCTCCTCTTTCAGAGGGAAAGAGCAAGAGTTGGTTATTCAGGCCATTAAGTACCAACTCAGCGTTGTTGTCCTCTCGTCACCAAAACACCAGGGGGCTTTGGAGTCCTTAACCTCTGAGGGTGGAGTCTATTGTGCTCAGGTATCGACATCACGGAGCGCTCTCAGGCCTATGTTGGCGTGTTGTGGTAGAACCCAACCTCGCTGATAGAATAATTGAATGGAAGTCTGTCAGCGGAAGGGTGGTAATCTTCCGACTGAAGCTACAACAGGCTTAAGCGTGCGTTGATCTTGGTACAGATTTATGCACCGATTTGGGAGGGAGAATTGATATCTTCCTTGAGAAAGTGCGGTGTGCTACGTTCGAAGTGCCGAATACGGAGTCATGTTAATGGGCGATTTTAATCCGCATGTCAGACTAGACGCTGAAAAGCTAAACAGCGTGATTGGAAAAAACGGCCCTAGCGACCTCAACTATAACGGCATGAAGTTGCGGTTTTGTGCAAATAACGGACTGCTTATTATCAACACCGTCTTCGAGCATCCAAGAGTCCACCAGCATACCTGTGACAGAGAAGCTTTTGCACAGAGGTCGATGATCGATTTGCTAATCATCTGACTTACAACGCTCTGCAATCGATGTTTGCATTAAGAGGCGCAGGGCTCTCAACCGATCACCACTTACGTTAGTTGTTGCTAAGCTATGCTGTAAGAAGTGGAGTACCATGCGAAGATCGCAGAAGTAGCCAGAAAATCAAATGCGAAACATTATCGCCTGTGGACATGAGAGCGAAATATGCTAACGACATCGCACGACAGTTTGAACAAATTCCAGTGTTGATTGGTGATGCGAAAACCGAGTGGCAGCTCTTTTAGAACAGCATACTCGAAGCTGCCGCAGAATGTTGCGGATTTAAGCGGATTGGCATGCCGCCTGGAGGTCAGAAAACATCTTCCAGGTGGACACGAGAGGTACAACTGACAGTTAAAGATAAGAAGGCAGTGTTCAAGAAATAACTTGGAAACAAAGAGCTTTCCACTGGCGTGCGATATGTCGAGGCGCGCAGTGCGACAGCGAAAGCAGTGGCAAAAGCCAA